CACACCCACACACCCACACACCCACACACCCACACACCCACACACCCACACACCCACACAACCACACACCCACACACCCACACACCCACACACCCACACACCCACACACCCACCCAACCTGCAATCTTTTTGTAGCACTCAGGCAAGCGGCAATGACATGGAGGCATGTTCCACGGTAGTGCTGCGGACGCCGGGTGCTGGAAGCTGCTACACGCTGTCTCGCCAGGACAAAAACCAATTATTTTTCGACTGCCGGGAGCCGACAGATTGGATTTTCCATGAGCGATTTTGCTCGTTGTGATGCATGGCTGTGGCTGTGGTTCTCCACTTAGCTCTCTGGAGGCCAGAAGCTGAAACTCAAGGCCGCCACACCACACAAGATCACGCAAGTGTGCGGCCATGTCAGATGCATTTTTACATCCGTCTAGCATTGGACTGCTGCAGGCCGAAGAGCTTGAAAGGGAGCTGAAACACTTGCGGTGTGCCCACTATCAGCTCTGCCAAGATATTCATGTATGCTTTCCACCTAGGTCAACCCCAGAGGAGCGAATCAAGGCGACAAACGGCACTTGACGGATTGTTCGGGTGTTTGTTTTCGAATGCCTGTGTTATCACAAGGAATTGGAGCTTCAAGTCTCAACAAAGCGTTCGCAGCGGGAAGCCCCAAATCTACTTTGTGGGACTTTTGCGACAGTCAAGATGACCTTTATACAGAAGCTGAAACATCTGAGGATACAGCGGGCGGCCAAACGATCCGAGAGAAGAGTTCGGCCCCCAACCCGAAGCGACTGGAAGTGACAACCGGCTTTGGAGAAGTTTCTGGAGGCCAAGATGCGAGATCAGCAAGTCGAGGTGTGCCCTGCCTTTGCTGTTTTCAGTGAGGCAGAGAGCTGAAATCCGCAATCATGTCGTGTCGTTTCCTTGAACAGCCGAATTCCTTCATCAGCATGCCGACTGAGTATCGGTTTTGCGGTGCATGTAGAAAGCTTTGGAAGCTCAACGGGTTTTAACTGTCTCCCGCTGCACCAAGCCTTCACGCAAGGGCCCCATGAATGCGGATCGTGCACTTGCACACGCGGATGCTAACAGCAACTCAAACATCTCCTTTCCGGCTCTCAATGCACATGATGTGTAGGCCATCTAATTGTGATATAGCATCAGCAGGCCATGCGTGCCTGGGACATGAGGCATGGCAGCATCAGCATGCCGACCGCGCCCGGTCTGGAAGGCCGTGCACAGGGCGGCGCCGTTCTTCAAGTAGGCCGTGCGCACATCTCAGGCGAGCGAGCCCTCTCGTCGGGGCCAACGGTCAGCCAGCTTGAGGAAAAGCAGCCCTCCGCCAAGCGGAGAACTCCACCCCGGATCACCCCGGTGCATGATGGCAGCCTTGTCCGCTCGGTCCGCAAACTTGGACACCGTGCGCTCGACTGTGCAGCTCCACTCTGCCTCCAGCTCTGCTGTCAAGGTCCCAGGTTTCCGAAATTCCGAAACGCACCGATCTGCAAGAAGACCTGCTTGAGCTTGATCTTCCGCTCCGCCAAGTCGGCGTCATTTGAAGCAGCCGGGGGACCTTCCACGGCCTCCGCTGCCGCTGCATCCCTCCTGATATCGCGTGAAGCAGAAGGCGAGGCGGCTGGCGCTACTCGCGCACCCGATTGGCAGCGATCACCTGCAAAGACGTCTCCGCGGTCCCGCCCGCCTCGCGCTGCATGGCCTGCGCGGCAAAGAAACCCGACATGGTGTGCACACCACGAGGAACGAGGCTAACTGGAAGAGCCGGCGCGAGCGTGACTGCTTAGTCTGACAAGGCGACTTGCAACTGGAACCTTGCGCAACCTGCTACACTCGGGAGCACCTATAGGCAGCGTAGCCGCACCAACCGAAGCGCCCCTCGTACAGTAAGGCGTAGGCAAAAATCGCCCCCCATTGCCAAGAGAGTTCATAACAGGCTGGACGGTTGCCGACCGTACACACCGCCTTAGGTTTGGATCCGTCCAAAACTTGCCACAAAAGCACACGACCATGCAGGGGTTCCTCCCCTACAAGCCACCTGCAAAAAACCTTATCGTGTGCCCAACCCTTAGCCGGGCCAGGATGGGGCCGGCGCCACTCAGAAGAGCTGGAGAACTCCTCCCGCACGGTTGCGCCTCGCAGGTGGTAAAGCCGACGACGACAGACAGACGTGGCACGGGATTGAGGCAGATGGCAAAGTCCTCTCCAAAGGAGAGCCGCAGCAAAGGCACACGTTCCGATGCCACAGCCAAAAGATAAGGGGCCAGCGGTTGCGAACGAAGGGTGCCCCGAAAGCCTAAGCGGAAGGGGGAACCTTAGCATCACCGAAAGGATTCCTCCACCGATGCTGGCCGGCCTGCCAAGTCTTCAGCACCGTTGCAAGGTGTGCTCCAGGGAGGTGCATGGTAGATCATGTGAGCCATGGATCTAGAGAACGTGTCGGTGAGGCCCAAAGGGGCGGATTGCCTCAGGACTGTGAGGCGCACGAATCGTATTCTTGCTTCGTCCGGTGGCGCCTCGGCTGGGACAGTTGTATCCTCTAAGGCGCACGGCCCAGCAATTATATAATTGGGAGCTTCCCAGGTTTGGTCGCGATGAGCACAGGACAGATACGCAACGGAGGCGGCGCATGGGCAACGTGCTGCTTGGACACTCTGCTGGACGATGGTCTCGGCCGGGCCAGGCAGGGTCGCCTCCGTGCTTGCCAGCTTGGGACGGCTGGGAGTCGTCGCCGTCGGCTATGATGACAATGCAAGGCCGCACTCTGGCGCTGCCCGCCGCACAATGCCGACCCCAATCTTGGTAGACTGAACCCCTAGCGTGACCAAAAAAAACGTGCTGCCACCCCTCGCTTTGCCCTAAACCGGGCACGGGTGAGTGCTTTAGCTTCATAGTCTTCCACCCACAAAGGCAACCTGCCTGCAGCAAAGCTGTTCTTGTCATGGTCACCGTATGGCGCTGCAGATTGGAAAAGCTTGTCGAAAACAGCCAAGCGCAATTCCTTTTGGTAGTGAAGTGTGTACAGCGTGACTATTCAGGTTTGGCCTTTCTTCTAAAGGAGCACCCCCGAGCTCCAGTGAATCAGAAAATATGCAGAGCTCAGGAGCAGACGGCGTAGTCCTCGAGAACAAGCCTGCAGAGAATGAAGTGATCCCTGGCAACGTAGATGTTGGCAATCACGTAAAGGATACTGGCAATCAACTGGCCGATAATGGCAATCCGGCCGCATTCAGCAGCAGTACAGCTCAAAAGTCGTGGCGGTGATAACGAGGGATGGGATGGATGGGCTTTCTACGCAGGGCACAAGTTGCCCTGTGCCAAAGCTTAAATAACACGCACCGTAGTGGCCCAAGTTGTAAAGAACGCTTTCGGCATGCTCATTGCTACCTGGCCAGAAACAGCGTGGCGTGAACTGCCTGAGCCATAAGGGTCCTCACTTACATCATGCACACCTCGCATGTCCTTTCTATTGCTCTCACATCCAGTTTGTATTGAAATGCATGAAATGCATAAGGGGCATGAGCTGCGCGCTTGGGCGGTAGGGCGGGATATGTACGTCTGAAGGACTCTCGGCCCGAGCCTTAGAGGGCCGGGACAGTCTTTGTTCGCATTGGTCTCCAATGGTTGGGCGCGCGGACAGCCATGAGCCTTTTTCCTGGCCGGGAAGAGGCATTGGCTATGAATTCGATTGAGGCGGTCCGAGTTTTGTACGGGGTCTCCAACGACGCCTGGGCCGTGACCCATGCGCAATTAGGCCTCCCGGACATGCGGATCCTCGCCTCTCTTCCTCCGGAGGCCCTGGTGGAGAACGTCATGACGGCCCGCTTCACGGACGGAGCTTCTTTGAATCCTACTCTGGCTGTCCAGATTGGGTGATTGGGTTGGTGTGGCGCTTATGCAGAAGGATTGCCTGGGCCCGGGGAGGCGGGGACTTGAACGCCTGGACGGACATCGACCCTTGGGCTAGGACTGCAGCACCGCCGGCACCGGCTACCTCCACGGCATCAACCACGACGAGGCTAAAGGAGAGGGGCATCAAGATGTCGGCCATCATAGACCAGTCTGACGATTCGGAGTTTGCCCGGAAAGCTTGGCAACAGCAGACCGTTGGTACCAAAGATACATCGCGATCATGGGGGGCGCCCCGCAGGAGGACGAGGACTGCACCGTCGAGCAGCTGAGTGCACTGAACAAGCGGGTGGCGGCCCTGGACCTACCTCCATATGTGGACTTGGCGGTTTGGCAACCTTACCGGAGACTCCGACCTGGTCTTCCAGTACGCAGAGGAGGCTTGGGCGGACAAGGCGCGGACTTACACGGGTCCCAGGCGCAACGACCCAAAGATGAAGCCGAAGAAGCCGGCGGGGCCCAGATCAGAAGGACCTGCCTGCACCGCCGCCGCCTGCACCAGAACCTGACCCGGCCAGCTGGAAGTGCTCATCGACAGGCCCAAGTGGCAGATCCAAGGCGGTACACCTCCTTCGCCCGCTCCAAGCACTTCACCCTGTACGCGGATCCTCCCACGGGCACCAGCAAGTGTATAAAGTGCCGAGTTCACAGCAGAGGCATCGCGGCGAGCCAAGGCCTGCCTGGGGTGGAGGGCGGGAATTTTTGAGCAGCGAGCAGATGCCGCCCGCGTTGGAGTGTCGTGACAGCCATCAGTGTGCTGTGGTGTTGCAGAGCGGCAGGGCATTTGGACCGCCCACGTTCTATGACATGCACGGTGGATTCAAAAGTCCTCGCGCGAGCGTGTGACCTTAAGCAGTTGTGCCTCGGGAGTTACCCCGGTGGTAAGGCTGTGGGAGTTCTTGCTTTCGCCATGTTCTCTCTCCCCTTTCCCTGCTCTTTCTCTTGCGTTCCAGCGCAGCTTTACCTTCAGCGCACCAGGTCCGCAGCAACTTGGGAGCAAGCCGGCCGTCGTCGATGCCATTGATGCCATGGCCACACCCTCGTCAGTGACTTCCAGAACTTGAAGGAACTTCGCTTCTTTTTCGCCAAAGAAGCTTCAGTCGAGACCTGGCTTAAGAAGACCCGCTCTACGAGGAACACAACACTTAGGCGGCTAGGGCGTTGTTGGGCCGCGGTGCGGCTTTACTTCAGCCAATCCGAAGCCGATAACTCTATAATCGCTTTCGCGACTTGGATTGTATCCTCGGGCAAGGTGATTTGAGAGATCTCAAGGCAATTTTTTGGCGACGCCTCGCGTTAGCCAAGAAACGTTGAAGAGGATGCTGTGCTTCATAGCATCTGGCGAGTCAGCTCTCTACAGCATCAGTTGTTGTCCAAATTGAAGAAGCGCAAGCTTGCGCCCAACCTGTTTACGGAGGATGATGACCCGAGCGAGTCTGGTTCCAAGGACGTCGATACAAAGGTCGACAAGCTCTTTACTCTGTTGTTGGCTTACGCCATTGCAGGTACCACCAGCATTGCCAAGCGCGCCTGCGCCGACCGAAGAAGCCTCTCTGGAGCAGACTCCAACCTGTTTGTGCAGGTTCCTCTCAAGCACACTTGTCCAAGGGACTATTTTTCGAGTTGCGGAATTTGCCAATCGGTGCGCTCTTCCGGGTCACGCGCCCTCAGCCGACCCCCATTAACTCCGCCCCAGGCGCCGGCTAAAGTAACAGGGCCATTCTTCCAGTCCATGGGCGCGATCTCAGGCAAGCCGGTAGCTTGCCAGTGAAAGATGGGAAAGGATTTCCAAATTGCCTGTCCCGGGGCTCACCTTGGCGACGTCCTTGACAGTGACGGAAGTTGACTTAACCGCCCTGGACTGGTCAACGAAATCGCGCGCTGGCGAGGTCCCAGTGCACTTTGACGATGGCCGGTCGGGTCCAGCCCTGCCTTTGTTGGGGAGGTACCCGGACAGGCGGCCGGGCTGAACTCGTCCGCATTGGGCGAGATCGACGCTCCAGAGCCGCCCGATGCAAAGCCCAGAAGCTCAGGCACCATGTCGAAGAAATTATTAGGTGGCCTCCTCTTTCACGTCAGCGCTTCCATGCCAAGGACGAATGGACACCGCAGCTGCGATTTTTCAAGCCATGGGCCATGGCCGGCGGGTCCGGGATGGGGAAGAACCTGGCCACAAGTGCTTTGGCATCGCACCTTACCACCCAACAACGCCATCTACACTGGCCATGGAGATCCCGGGCCACACGAGTATGGAGGGAGTGACCCTCTTCCGCAACGTTGCCGGGCTCCTGTTCGAGTGCAGATCTGGACAGCGCCACGCCGCAAGGCATTATGTAGATTCCCACGGAAGGTCGGGGTTCAGTGCTCCAGCATGAAAGGTCGAGTTCGGAAGGCTGGTGTGGACAAAGAACGAAGTTCGGTTGCCTCCAAGTGAGCACTGCAATGCAGTCTAATTTCATTTCGCTATTTTTGCTTGTATGGCCGGTGTTTTTGGCCATAAATCTTGGAGGCGCTTGCTAGCAGTCGCCAACAGACCCTCCAGGCACGCAGGAGGAATGCCCAGTCGGGCTGGAGAACACCCTTTCGACGCCGGCTGATGGATTGGTCGGGTGGTTCTTATCAGGGCACTATCGAAATAGGAGTGGAGCGCCGGCATTTTCTGGTCGCGCACGAGCTGGGAGCAACGGGCGAGTGCAAAAATTTCACACGAGGGTCAGGCAAACTAACAAGCATGCACAAGCTCGTGAGCAAGGGCATGGAATCATGCTGATGTTAATTCGCTGGTCAGGATCCTCAGGATGCAAACGATCCCAAGGCCGCACTCGACAGTTTTTGACCGTTGCAGCTCGCATGTCTCCGTCTGGCGAGTGATTGAATCGAGGAATGGTGGAGAACTAAACTTGCAAGTCCTGTGAGTTGCCTTTGTGCCACCAATATTGTGTGTCCAGATTCATCCAGTTTGGTTGCAACACAGGGGCCGGATGCAGCATCTTTGGCGGATTGGTGCCGTGCTTAGCTGCTTAGCTGGCGAGAGATTCGAGAAGCGGCTTAAGCATCCAACGCAACAGTGAGGCTGTTGAGCCGGGCTCCGAACCTCGAGAAGTCTGTCGAGCAGGCAGGACCAGTTTGAGTGTTTCTTTGTTTTTGAGAGAGCTGAGTGTGGCTCGCCGGTGTCAAGTTGGAAAGGTGATGCTGCGTTTGCATTTCATTAAAGAGATTGTGCTGTCTGTGCCAAGCGAGTACCGGTCACGAATGACAGACTTTGCGCTGGACTTTTGTCGCAGGCTGCCCGAACGAACGGATGTAGGATAAAACACGTGGGACACAGCATCTATTTTCAGGTCTGCCATTCTTGGGTCGTCTTTCAATTGCTATAAGCTACCGGCATTGCCAGAATCTGTGGAAGTGAATATTTGTGCCCGCGCTCATGCCGCTTTTGTGCAGACTGTGGTGGTCTATCACTTGAGACTTGAGCGGTGTCCATGCCTTGGATTCGCAGCAGGACCCCTGGCGTGAAACAAGCAAATGGTTAACCCCGTGAAGCCGGAACTGGAATTCTGGCAACAACAATCCTGTGCAGCGGGCGACAGCTTGCAGCTCCCTGCGCAATGTTTAGCACCGTCTCTTGTCGCAGCAACTTCTGCAGGTGCAGGAGGAGTACCAGAAACTGAAAGCCACCTTTGAATCTGCGAAGGACCCAAAGGTTTGACAGAGTGTCAAAATGTCATTAAGGGCTTGGGGCAACAGCTGCGCAGCACGGCATGGCTGCTTGGAAGGAGAATTTGTTGTCCGAGCGCATGGAGCCAGGTGCTGAGATTCGCTTCTTACTGGAATCCTCCAATGCTGCGTTGGATCGAGGTCTTACGGGCTTAAGCCGGGACCCAGTAAAGGACTTGGTTTGATTTTCGACACAGAATACCAAATAGCGAGGTCTGGCGACACATCCAAGCCAAAGTTGGAAGTGCTGTGCCGCGCTCGGTGAGCGGCAGAGCGTGCTGGCCTGAAGTTGCTGCCATGTTGGACCTCTTTTTCAGGCAGCAAAAGCTCCAAGAATCAAAAGAGGAGCTCCAGGTCCTCATCGAAGAGAAAGGCCACTTGGAGCAGGTGCGCTGCACAGCAGCTCCAAGAGGTGGGGAAACCAGCCAAGTTTCGGAGGCTATTCATGGGCCGAAGAAGAAGCTCAAGGCGATGGTCTTCAGGTTTCCTTCCTTTGGATCAGCCCCTGAATCTCTCAACGACTCCAACAACTTCCAGCACTTTTTAGCTTTTGCCTTGTTTTGTTTACTTGGAGCCCAGTCAACGATGGCCCTCGCACCAAGCGCACACTACGTGTTTGTAGAACCATCACGAAGAGAATCCGCTCACAAAACACTGAAATACATCGCAAACGAAGACGAACAGCCGGTACAATTAGTGAAGCTGACATTTGCACTCGACAGAAACAAAACTATGCAGGCAAGACTGAACTTCCAGCCATGCCTCCAAGTATCACGCAAGCATCAGGTAAACGCATTTTGAAGATTCCCGGCCTTCACGGCGCTGTTTCTCTTCAGTAGAGCACAAGGCAGGCACGAGGCTGTCGCGAGATGAGGATGGCCCATGGCGTGGATGGTGGATGCCCTGTTGAACGAAATGTCTGTGTAGGGGGCTGGCTCCGAAGCGATGCAGGAGTTTACAAGAACCGACGAAAGGATCAGGAAAGGGTATTGGAGGCGGAGACACGCGGACCCAGGTTGAAGGCTTGCTGCTGAATCTTTGCAGGCGTTCCCATGCCTGACCTTGGTGGGTTGGTGGGTTGCCATGCTGTGAATCAACTGACAGACTGACAGCTGTCTTCACGAAGGATGGAAAGCACCTCAGACCTTATTCATTTTGTTGCCTTTCCTAGAACTCTGCCAGTTGCATGCAGCAAGCTCCAGCTCCGTTCTTGTTCGGCCTTCGCATTTCTCGGCAAGTTAAACACAAGAACACAGTTTTGGCTTTGCGCTGAAATCCAGCACGAAAGCATGGAGATGAGCAGGCAGAAAGCTTGGAGGACAAGGTGGAACCTGTGGCATCATTGCAGTTGCCCGGTTCAGTTTCGAATCGCCGTCGAGGTTGTCATGTCAGCAGGCGACGAAGCTGACATTCCGTCCGTGACAGAGCTAAGCAAGGCTGCACAATGAAGAAACCCTGTCAAACCAACCCGAGGGCCGCTGTCGGTACTGCCGAGTCCTACAGCGTTCTCTTTGGATCCGACGGGCAACCCGTCCTGGATGGGGCTGAGGCGCCCATGCACAGCTCTTCTCCGTGCAAGGATCCCCGTCTCAGGACTTGCCAGAACCATCAGAGTTTAAGACCGTGAGTCAGTAGTGGCCTCGAACTTCACCAGCATCTAAAGCTTCGAGCATCTTGGAAACAAGGTCGCGGCCATACTTGGCAGATTTGACAAAGGCAGTCGGGAAATTCACCGTTCAGCCGGAAGTCGAGCGAACGGTGCTGCAGTGCTGGTCGGGCTCTTTGAAATGAAAGGCATGCCAATTGCTCGAAGAAAAGCGTGTCGTGACCTCAGTTTCCCAAAAAGCATTGCTGCCAACAATGCCTCCGAGTGTGAAAGCCGCAGAGGCCGGCCTTGCAGCAAAGCTGAAACTTGCCCACGGCGAAAGCCTGGAAGAAAGCGACCCTGGTGATCGTGAAGAAGCCAGCCCAGTTCGACAAAAGAACTCG